GTACATTCCCATCATTAACGAGTGGATTAAAAAAGCTATGGTGCATACACAAAGTGGAATACTACTTATGCATCCCTAAAAACAGCGATGAAACCGTCACATCAAGTTGTGTTGGGATCTAGAAGACCTGCTGCGTGACGTTCGTACAGCACACAAGGTCAAATACTGTCTGAGGCCACTGCGGTACGAGCAAGCAGCGGAATGGGCACAAGCTCAATCTTGGAGGGCATCTAGTTTTCATGCTGGGGACCAGATAGCCTAATAAAGAGCCAGACCAGTGCCAATGAACCACATATTATCTGCTCCAGGTCCCTAGTTTGGAGGGAGCCTCATGACGGCTGGGCTGAAATGGTTGGGATGGGGCGGGAGGGGGTGGGGATGTGATCTGCTGAGTGGCTCCGTGTAGATCTGTGGAGAGGTCCCCGAGAGAGGGAGGTGGCCCTGGAAGAGGGATGAGGCTACTGATGGGAGGGACAGCACAGGAGAGGTGAGAAGGAATGGGCACATTTGGGAGAACACAGGTACATGCCTGTTGAGGGGAGGGGAGGGAGATCTGGCCCCAGGTGTGGGGAGGAAGACCGAGGATGCTTTGAGGATCCTTAGGTGGAGAGTGTCTTTAGTGGAATGCAGCAAAATTGAACTAGGGTGTCTGCAGGTGTGGGATACAAAACAAGCTTTCCCCCCGGTTTTTCTCCCCAGAGTTTATGCCAAACCTAAGAACTGCTTGCCAGCCCGTGGTAGGTGTTTGGAGATATTCTCCCCAAAGGCATCGGCCATCCAGAGCAATCAGACTACTTACTGTCTGGTCCACGTAGATGGGGCTCACACCCTACTGATAAGGAGAGTGATGGTTTCCCTGGAGAGCTCAGAACAGGTCAAACCAGCTCAGTAACAACCAAGGTGAGGTTGCCATCCTGAATCTAGGATCTGCCCATCTTGTCACAGGTATACCCCTAATCCCTCCTCTTCCTGTTGTGTGTACAGCGAACCCTCGCCACTTCGCGCTTCGACTTCCGCGGCTTCACTCTATCGCGGTTTTTGCGTAACAGCGCATGCTCTGTCATTACTGCCACTGATTGGCTCATACTGTACACGCTTCTGTCTGCATCGCTACGTATGAGCTACGTATCAGATGCATTTTTGCTTTTGTACAGTGTACTGTAATTGTTTGCGATGTTTAAGAAATTTTATCTAAGCCCTATGATGGCTCCTAACCGAGCTGCTTCTTCTAAGCCTTCTGACAATAAAAATAAGCGCCAGAGGAAGATGCTCACCATCCAGGAAAAGGTAAAACTTTTGGATATGATCAAAGATGGCAAGAAAATCGTGGAGGTTGCACGCCATTTCGACTTGAATGAGTCTTCCGTTCGCTCCATCCATAAAGAGGAAAAAAACATCCATGCTACGGCTACTTTCACTTTCAACAAGGAAGCAAAGCGCATCGTGACAAGGAATCCTACTTCGCGGAATTTCATTTATCACGGTAGGGTCTAGAACCGATTAACCGCGATAAACGAGGGTTCACTGTATACCCCTAAATCATCCCCCTCCCATTGCTGTGTTGCCTATGGTACTACCCCTTCCTGTGGTGTATGTTGTTACCTGTAATCAGGGGGCTTTCACACCCCCAAGTATATAGAAGCCTGGGTTAGAAATAAATCTCTCTCTCCTCCCCTCTCCTCCTCCCGCACCTCCACGTGGACCATCAAGAGAGGCTGAGGTGAGCATGCTACCATGAAATGTGTCTGACACCTTCATTTTATCTTCTCTCTTACCTCTCCTAGTCTCATGACTTTACTATAACCTTTATATATTATAACCATACAATTGCGCCCACAGACCCGTGATATTTGTCAGGGGCTGGTTTACACTGACATATGGTGCCCATCACATGGGGCCCTATAAGAAAATAACTCTTTTGAGTTATATCTCGTGTAAAAATTGCATGGCCTCATCGAGCAGAGAGCAGTGAATCGGAAACAATTTGAGTGTGACTTTAGTCTGAGTGAGATATGGGGCAAGTGAAGAGCAAGGAGACAGGGTACTGCATCACTCTTCGCCACCTCTTGAAAAAAACAAAATGTAGGGGTAGTGAATAAAAAAATGAAAGAGTTTCTTCAAGTGGTAGAGAAATGTAATCCTTCTTTTCCAGAGTCAGGAACGTTTGATTAGAGGATGCTGTGCGTATAAAAGTGTCCGAAATGCACAGGCAGTGGAAGATCTTAAAGTCTTGCCTACAAACAAGCAGCCATCTAAATGAGATGTCAACTAAGTCCACATGGAAGAAGCACACCAACATCAGTCACCAAAGGACTGGAATCCATATAATCCAAAGTTAAAGGAGGGATCAGTGTCAGAGCCTAAATTCTGAGCAACGGGTGTGCAGAAGGCAATGGATGACAGTGGGAGTTCAGATCCATTAGTGAAACTACATAGGAAATAAGCTTCCAGAGAATTCCCCCTATCTAAAATTGACAGATGGGAAGAAAGTGGTCACTTTGGGAGAGAGGAGTATAGATGATCAAAGACATAAATTTGTCTTTTAACTGTCAATTCTAACTGACGTGATTGTAATATGGAATGATATGAAGAGTACAAATGTCCTGAGATGGGGGGGGGAGGGCTACAAAAAAAGAAGTCTTTAGAAGGACCTAGTATTTTAAGGAAGGCCAGGAATACCTCAAAGGTGAGTCAAGAGAGGAAGGAAGACTGTCAACCTTAATCATGGAAGAATCTGTGGCTGAAGTTCAGAGACTGGTGGACGAAGACGACAGAATTACCATTGCTGAGGTAGCTAATGACAGTAAGATCTAACAAGGTTTGACATTTTCGGTCTTCAGCAAACGTGTTGGTCTCCGCAAGCGTTCAGGTTGATGGGTACCAACGGTACAGCACAGGGTAAGCTAAGCTCAAAGAGCTGATGTTTCCGTTTTTTAAAGCAAGACTGAAATGAGTGAAAATGGTTTTACAGAGTTAAGCTTAACCAGGAACGAGCCGAGGGTTTACCAATACTATCCAGAAGACAAGGTTTAATCCAAATAATGGCTTCCCAGGGGATCTGCTAGGCCAGTTAAACTCAAGGCAGAGAGAGGCTTGTTATGAGGATGTTTTAAGAAAATGGAAAATTGCATTGGTGAGAAAAATGCTAGGAAAATGGTATGAAGACATTTCCCCACCTTGATAACGGATGACCTGCTCACTCTTCAAGAGAAGCAAGGGCTGTCCTACAAGAATTTCACCAGGAAACATTTGAGGAATACAATTTGAATCCCTTAAGGATGCCAAAATTGCCAAGAAACAATAATCCACATTTTAATATTTTATTTCATAATAAAATCAGTTAATAAAGATTTATATTATTTTGTGATGCCCTGGTGGCTTAGTGGTTAGACGTTGGGATGCTAACTGCAAGATCAGCAGTTCAAAAACACCAGCAGCTCTGAGAGAGAAATACTTGACTTTCTACTCCCCTTAAGAGTTAGTCTCAGAAACGCACAGAGGCAATTACCCTGTCGTATTGGGTGGCTATGAGTCCTGAATGACAGGCAGCGAATTTGAGGTTTTGATTTGTATCACTTATTTTTTTTACTTACCCTTCTATGAAAAGCCATTGAGATTCTGATATGTCACTTAATTATAGACAACATTCACAACTGAATTTAAAATAAAGTATGTCTTACTTGGATCCATAATCAGTGCTCATGGTAGCAGCCTCCAAGAGATCAAATGACATATCATCTTGGGTTCATCTGCTGCTTGGGGTCTCTTCAGAATGGGGAAAGGCAAAGATGTGACTTTAAGGACTGAAGTGCGCCTGACCTGGGTCACTGTATTTTCAATTGCTTCATATGCACATGGAAGTTGGACAGTGAATAAGGAAGATTGAAGAGGAATCGGTGCATTGGAATTGTGCTGCTGGAGAAGACTATCGAAAGTATCACGGGCTGCCAAAAGGACAAACAAATCTGTCTCAGAAGAAGGACAGCCAGCCAGGATGCTCCTTAGAAGCAAGGATGAGGGGACTTTGTCTCCTATGCTTTGGACATGCTGTCAGGAGAGACCAGTCCCGGGAGAAGGACATTATGCTCGGTAAAGCAGAGGAGCAAGACCTTCAACAAGATGGATTGAAACAGTGGCTGCAACGATAGGCTCAAACATAGGAACAATTGTGAGGATGGTGCAGGACCGGGTACCGGCTTGTTCTGTGTGCACAGGATCACTTTAGTAAACCACTTTTGGATTTTCCTATGAGAGCTGACAAGTAAACACTTGAGCTGTCCCACATCACAGCAGTTGAGTTTCAGAATCTTTACCACCTTTCTATACCAGTGCGGGCTTTGCATAGTTGCTGACACATTTCTTTGTATTGTGTCATACATTTACTAAAAAAGTGAGTAGGTAACAGAAAATCGAAGTTAACGGTGATAGTTAATATTAAGCTGTTAGTAGTGATGAGCAGATAGTTTGCCAATTTGAAAAAATTAAGACAAAATGGAAATGATTGTACCTGCTGGCAGCATAAAATTTTTAACGTTCATTGGACTGTCATTGGGATTATGCTAGTTGGCCTTAATATTTAGATGCGGTGGCAAAAGGCAAAACATATTTATAATAAATGAAGGACATAGAATAGATCTATTCTATCTATATATTTTCATCTCTGAGAAAAGAGTTTCCTTCATCAACCACTGTTGCCTTCTAACATTGCTCAACTCAGACCCTTTAACTGGAGCATTATCAGTAAAGAAGCTGGTCCCTAATAACATCAAATGTCATCATCTCTAGGAACCCTCTCTCGACCCCTCGAGCTCTATCCATAGCTCCCGGTGGGCCCTTCGACATTCTACATGCCCACAATAATCACCTGTTGACATCTGAGTCACTATCCTGAAGACCCCTCAAAGAGGGACACTTTCTCTTTCATCTTCCTTGTAGGGGTCCACTAAAAGTTCGATGATGTCGCATGCAACAGAAAATACATGTTCATAATTTTTTCTAACCTTGCCACTTTCTTCACAGAGAGGAGGAAGGTCTTCTACTTCCATATGGACTCAACACTTCCGCAGTCCCTGAGGAAAAAACGGGTGGGAAAATCAGGCTTCCGCTTGCTGGATCCAAGAGACACATTAAAACCATTTTACTTTTCACTACCCGAGAAAATAAGCGTTGCACAAATATGTACGGAAAATGAGGGAATCAAATTTTACGCACGAGAGTTATCAGCTACAAGCCACAAAAATGGTTTAATAGACCCGACACTACAGTTTGGCTCTTTATAAAGTCCACTGCTGAGGACACAAAAAGTAACCCCAGGATAATTGCAAGTGCTCATATAGAAAAGGGGAAGAGTAGAAAGTTTCATTTCAGAGTTGGCTTCTTATACAGATGGAAGAACACATTTTAGACCTCAGACAATTTTTTCTGGGATTGGAGAGTTCCAAAATCACTGCGAGGAGCAAACTGATTAATCTTCAACTCTACTCCAACGTTTTTTTGCCTAACTGGAATAAAAAGTTAGGGAGGCAGAGCAAAGAGCGAATAAATACAGCTATGTTATCACTGATTATAACAAAGAAAAAAATCTAAAACAGTATCCATAAAATACGTAGCAACAATTCTAAATTTTCTTGCCTTAATCATTATCTTCACAATAACTACTTTGTTTCATGTAGATAATCCGCATGTCTGGATGGTGGCTCGAGTGTTATATAGTTAAGAATTTTATCACTAAAATAACTTCAGAGCACTTCGTTTCACATTACTTAAAACAACTGGAGTCTTAAAACTGATATAGAAAAACCATAACCCAAAACAAAGTCAAGTCCTAACAGTGCTCCTTAACATTGTTCTGTATTTATCAATGTTTCACATGCCTTTGAGTGTATTAATACATTTCTCTCCGCCCTCCCCAACCCCAGCTGTTCAGAATCTCTCCAAATATCAGGATTATACATTCAGAATCATTACAACCTTTCAACTGTACCACTCTAATGGCAAATTGTGACTCCTATTGTTTGGAAACAGAGCTAAGAAACATGTTTTGGTTTTGATTTTTGTTTTAAAGGAACCCTTCGACTTTTCTTATAAATTTATAAAATTTGTTCTGGTTGCCAATATGCAAAGATGTCTCATATTCAAAGAATCTATAGTGACTAGTCTGTTTGGAGGGAGAAGGTCAGGTTTTCTACTCCCATAAAGGTTAGTCTCAGAAACCCACAGGCACAGTTCTCCCCGTCCGATGAGGTCTCTTTGAGTTGGAAATGAGCTGATGGCACTGAGATGGAGTTTTATTCCCCTAAGGATGTACAACCTCGGAAACCCACGGCTCTACTCTGGCCAATAGGGTTGCAGTGCGTTGGAAATGGCTCAATGGCAATGAGCGTTTATAGTTCAGTTAGTAGATTTGTTAAAAATCTAATTATTCTTAAGTCCAGCAGGACAGCTACTGATTGATATGATCCTGAGGAAAAATTCTGTTGCCTTTTCTAGCATTGTGGAAAACCAGAATCGACTCTTTTTATTTTTTTTTACATTTTCCTAGGGCAATACATACATAGATATATATTAAAGAAAACTAGTCTTCCCCAATTTTCCCTATTTCAGGATATAGTTTATGGTAGGGAGTATAGTTGTCTTATATATGTCTTATATATGTATAGTATATATGTAGGGAGTATCGTTGTCTTACCAAACATCATTTTACCAGGCTACTATCAATAATACATCAACATGTACTAAAAAACATCCATATTCTACACAAAGAACACCAGGCTCATGGCATCATATACATAATATATTCCAAGTAACTAGAATAATAATAATAATAATAATAATACATGTTAACTTGTTCAAAGCACTAAGTATTTTATATTAGCTCCTTTAATCTTTATAATATAGCTTGCTGTGAATTGTAATGAACTCGAAGGCTGGTTTTGCTTTAATGTCCATAGGAAACATGTCCATCATTGGCTGCATTTTATGGACAGGTTTCAAGCTGCCTCATGATCACCTGCCTATCGGGGCTAGAGCTAGTATCTGAACACAGAACAAACACTGAAGCCCTCACTTTCATAGAAACCTTCCGATTTTTCTTGACATACATTTTAAACCATTTCATTTTATACTGACTAAAAACATTCCTTCCAAAAATGTTTGTACCTGATTATTTTACATTTCTGGAGCCCTGTAATCAGTCATCTTTGTGCCTGTTCCTTCTACAGCCTTGTAAAGTTGTCTTGCAGAGCAAGGTCAATATGAACGAAAATATAGATACATAAATGAATGCCATTAGAGAAAAACAAAGGGGTAACATCATCTTATAACTCTGACAAAGTCAATATTTACCTGCAGAAAATCCACAGTTTTAAAGATCAGTGTTTTTTAAAAACCATACTAAAAATTTAACTTTTTGATATTACACTTCATAAATTTCAGGAGAGGGCTTGAACAATGCAAACACTGAAACACAAACAAACAAACAAACACAAAAGAAAGTGGAATCTAGTTCAACATAAAAAATTCAAGGGAAGGTACCTGGAATGTGAATAAAGCAAAACTTTAAAACTTTCAGAAGAAAATATTTAAAACATCTTTATGATTTAAGGGCAGGTAGAGAGTTCTTGTTTGTTTTAAACAAAACACGAAAACATATACCACAATGAAAAGATTGGTACCTTTCACTACATTAAAGCTTAAAATGTTGGCATAAAAATACATTCAAAACAAAGGGCAAATCAAACCATGTAATATATAACTGATGTCTGGCAAAGGATTCGTAGCTAGAATATATTAAGAAGGCTTGCAAATCAATAAGAAAAAGATAAACAAAATGATAAATCATTAAGAGTGGGGGAAGGATATAGGAAATTCAGGGAAGAAAATAAAAATATTAAAAGATGCTCAAATTCACCAACGAATTTATTATAGGAATGAAATGACTGCCACAATAAAAGAGACTATATGTATAAGATCTGCAAAAAATTAAAGGGGACAATATCTATCATTGATGAGGGTGACTGGATCAACAGGCGCACGCATATTACTAGAAGAAATGAAAGTTGGTTTAATCACTTTAGAGAGCAAGTCAACAATGTTTGGACTAGATAGGGTGGATTCAATTGAAATCCCCCTCCATTACAAATAATATGTTGAACTCCGAATCCCTCTACCTGTGATCCTATTTGAAATAGGGGATTTCCTTTGTGATATTAATGAGGGCACACTGAAGGAGACAAAATGAGTTCATTTCAACTCACAGAAACCCAATTTAGGGTTCTGAGGCTGTAAATCTTTACAGGAGCAGACAGGCTATCTCTCTCCCAAGGAGTGGCTAGTGATTTGAACTGAAACCTTTTGGTTAGCAGCCCAGCACTAAACCCATCATGACATGAAGACTTGCTTTGCTAGAAGAGACAAGGTCCTAAACCTAATCACTTATAAGTGGTTTCTTAGAGAAAAGCAAAAGGTACAGGCTGAGACATGCAAATGGAAGAGATACCTTCTGTGATGACTATCTACTGGAAGAAAAGAGTGAAATGAAAATTTTCTAACATCAATATATTAGAGTGGCCAAATGTGATTTTTTCTCTGGATTAAATTAGTTTATAAATGTCAGAAAACTGTCTGCATATGAAAGAGTTGCTATAGAGCATATTCAGACTCACAGTGACCAATTGGGTGTCAGTGTAGAATTGGGCTCCATAGGTGTTCAATGATTTATTTTTAATCGTTAGGTCTTTCTTGCAAGATATTTACAAGTGAACTCAAAGCTCCAATGTTTTGGCTCACAATCAAGATTGTTCGTATGTGACTAAGGACATGCTACTTTACTGGTTTCCTTATATTTATTGTGTTGGACATACATAGTTGGGCTCAGATATATAGTTAATTAATCATTGCTAAAAGTCCCTTGTGCTTTGTTTTGAATGTATTATAGCTATTAAAAACAAATAAACTCACTACTGTTGAGTTGATGCCAACTCAGAGTGACCCTAAAGGACAAGACAGAACTGTCCCCATGAGTTTCCAAGACTGTAACTATTTATGGGAGTAGAAAGTCCGGTCTTTCCCGCGAAGAATAGCTGGTGGTGTAGAACAGATGACTTTGCATTTAGCGGTGGAACGCATAACCGGTACGCCAGCAGGACTCCTATTATAGCTGTACTATTAAAGAATTTTAAGGTACTCATATTTATCACCCATCACTGTCTGTCACTTTTGTCATCTTGTGGAGGCTTGAATGTTGTTATGATGCTGAACACTATGTCATCGTTATTTCAAATACCAGTAGGTATCACCCAAAGCGAACAGGTTTCAGCAGAGCTTCCAGACTAAGAATAGAGCACAAAGAAGGAATAGCCTGTCCACTTCTGAGGGATCAACCACTGAAAACCTTGTGAATAGCATGAAATACGTTCAGACACTGAAGACCCTAGAAACAGTATTGCATGGGCGGATCAATACCAGGCCAGCTTCTAGCAGCAAGTGACTTTGAATCTCCCCCACCCATGCAGAGCTGACCAGAGTTGGCTGAAACAACTATCAGCAAGTGGCCTTGAATCTCCCACACACACCTGCAGAGCTGACCAGAGCTGGCTAATGGCCCGCTTTATTCTCGACCTGCCGCTCTGCACCCGGCATGGCCCATTTGGCTCAATGTCTGCTTTGTTCTCACCCACCGCACTGCACCCTGCACGAATACACCCAGAACCAGGAAGACTCCTTACATTCCAGAAACCCAGACATACCTGTCCATATAAGCACCACCCCAGTAGCCTGAAGTGTGACTCCCCCGGCCCAGACCATGTGGACTGTGGGACTTCGCCCAGGCTGGGTTTTTCTCCCTAATAAAGCCTGTTTGTTCTAATTCAACTGATTTGGTTTCTGGCACCTCTCGACTACCTTACAAGTATCAGAACACTATCAGAGATAGTATTGCTAGATGAGCCCCTTAAGTCAGAAGGCATTCAAAACATGACTGAGGAAAAGCTGTCTTCTCAAAGTAGAGTCCACCATAGGGATGCAGTTGGAATAAAGCCATTGGAATGTTCAT